TCCTGCTGCAGCTCATTTGAGACAGAAATTTTTATTGCAATGTTTGAAATTTTTTAGCTTTTCCAATAGTCAACAAATGTCTAATAAATATACTTCATAGCTTCCTCCAACTGGAACTGTAAGGAGCATCAGAGATCCAATAAACCAAGAGGAAGATGTTAAAACCAGAATATGGAATAACCTCTTTATCACAGATGCCCATACACATACTTGTAGACTGGTTCATGTCCAGCACGAAGCCTTCCCATGCTGTGGAAATCTTGCAGCAGCTCTAGTTGGAGGACAGGGAGTTACAGCACCACCATTTCAAATGGAGGTGGTCTTTCATATCCAGAATACTGTTTCCCACTCATAGTCTGATATGAACATTTCTTCCTCCATGGTAAAACACAGTTGTGCCACTTAAGCTGGAGAAAAGCAATGTGGGCACACATAGACCTAATGCTGTCCCTGGAGAAGATGCAAAGGGTGATTTCACTGTGAGTACCAAATTCAGAGAGACCAAACTCTATTGCATCTCATTAATAGAATTGGAGCTAATATCCTATAATTGATTCACCTCATGCAGCGCTAGATGTATGAAAATGAGGTGCTTAAACATGAAGCTTTTACCCAGGCCTATTTTCTCCGCTAGAATTTTATATGCCTTGGATTAAATGTACTCATGTACTTATCAAATGTGCTAAAATGTGCTCATCTCCTGACACCTCAGGATTCATCTGACTTAGCCCAATCTGAGATTAAGTGCCCTTGGAGATACCTACTTCTCTCACAGACAACTCTATGGTGATGAGTGCATTTTGAAAAATCTGAATATAAGGCAACCACATTACAAACACAGAAGAGAAGTTAATGGAAAGGGAAAGGAGCTGAGCCTTACACAGATGTGGCATGGATGAACTACTGAGCTGCTTCGTACTCTCTTTGTGAATTGACTTTTATTACATATTCTTACCAGAAAAAGCAGTCTTAAGATGGCTTCAACATTACAGACCTTTGTTATCGCTTGTTACAAGTAGCAGAAAGAGTAAAATGTATTTAAATTTTAATCTGCTTTTGGTCAATAAATAAAAATGTAACTGATAGTAACTCTTGATCTGATGGGGCTTTATTATGAAAATAAGGAATTCTGTATATGTGGAGAGTACAAGAGGCTTGATTAGTTATTTGAATCAATAGCTAGCAGATGTGGCAGAAGAGTGAAGTGCCTTGCTGTGTTTTAGCTGAAGTGTTAAGGATCAAGCAATAAAGTCCTATTTGACAGCAGGTGAACATGGTGAGTGCTGAAGCTCTGCAGTATGACCTGCTGAAGCGATCTCCAAGACACCACAACTCACTGATGGACATTTATTTCTACAGTGACACAGAAGGGCACAGGCATGTCATGTATTCTCAAAGTGGGTGTTCCACTCTCGGCAGAGAGTCGCATGATCAGTGCAACATTTCACAGGAATAAGGGGTACGTGGGCAGAATTGTAAGTTCAGATGCACAACCTACTCAACAAGAGAACAAGTTCAGATGCTTAAACAATACACAAACAAGAAATACCCTTACTGTTTCATAGGTGTGAAGCTTTCAATATTTTTTTTACCTGTTCAATCTATGTAAGATTCTTTTTCTTTGTCAATGCTATTCAATACTAAGAGAGTTTGTAATAAGTGATAAATTCATACAGGACTTCTAGGAAACACAGATACACAAGGGAGAGTCAACATGGGAAACACTGATTTTTCTCAAACAGAATATGGGGGAATAACAAAGGAACAAGGAAGAGTACACAGGACACACACAATTATCAAAACATTACTTGTGAGTACTCTTTACACTGTTTAAAAAATATTTTATGTATCATTTGTGTCTGCTATGGATGCCCTACCACTGTTGAAATTTCACTTGATTTCAAGTTATCTTTTAGCTTTTTTAGTTCCAAAATTTGCATTCTGAGACTACTGAACAACATATCAGACTTTCTACAAAACCCAAGGGAATGTGTATCTCCCTATATCCGTTCCATACCATACCACACCACAGATACATGCACGCACACACACACACATGCACTTTAAAAATCAGCCTAAAGAAGACAGCTGGCAAGGATAAATTTCAACTTACACATTCAAATTTCTGACGTTTTTACATTTTAGAAAATGTAAGGAGCTTAGATGAAGTATGAGGTGTTGCTTATACTTTTCTTCACAATATTACCCTTCCTTTATACATTATTTTTTCTACTATACTGTTCAGTGAAATGTAGCAGTTGTCAGGATGCAAATTAGGAAAATTTATGCAATGAGATGATTCTGTGATTAAAGCACATTTCCACCCTATTCAGAGCCTAATCCAAACCCCAGTCTATTAGACTTTTCATAACTGCTCACAGTCTGTGGGTGAGGCAGACACTATTCATGCTGCGCGAGGAAAGCCAGTGTCCCTGGAAGAGACTTCTCTAAGAGGGCTTAGCCAGGTGGCTCACCCATGGCCTTAGTAGGCTCCTCAGGTTATGAATATATGACATAATACTGAGCTAAATCTTTAAGAACTTCCTATGTAATTGAAACAATGCAGGAAGGTGAACATGAAAAGCAGGCTCTGTTTCCCCAGTAAGGATACCACACTCATCTAATGGTGGCTTTGAGTTCTTAAACTAGCCCACCAAGATCTTCACAGCTCTGCACTACACTATGCCTAATTTCAAATACATAATTTAATCCCATTTATATTAAATGCGGGAAAATAAATTCGTGAGATATTCAGGAACTTCAAAATTCAGCATTAAAAAAGAAAAAAAAACCCAACCATATTAACAGTTGTGTTTTCACAACACATCGAATGGAGTGGGCAAACATCTGACTGTGAACTGGGTTATAAAAAAACTGTAAAGAAACATTGTGCTGTAGTGGATGTACACAAGGGGGCAGAGCTGGGCAGGCAAATTGGGTTCCCAACAACTCCTGTCAAAGTTCTTTTTGCAACTTCAACTACTTCGCAGCTATTTTTTTTAAAGTAACTTGAGCTAAAAAGTGACAGCTTAGTTACCTAAATCTGTGAATTAGCAAACATGGCTTGTATACATTTGAATAAGGCCATGCACCCTTGATAGCATGATTTGGCATAATGAGACAAACAACAGTATTTCATTTTAAATTCTCTACAATAACACTTCAGAACATGCAGGTGGATACAGGAACGTTCCACTGTCAGTAACAGGAGAGCACATTGAATTTTTATTTCAAAATTTACTAAAGGTTTGTTACCATATGGTCGGTTTTGTTACAAACAGATCCCTACCAGACCATTCAACTTTTTAAAGGCCTTCTCCCTCCACAACCAACCATCTCAGTCTGCAAAGAGCTGTATTTAATGAACAAACAAACCAGACAGGTTTCCTAACTAAATTTCAAAAAAGAGCTTAGTCTGGCTGGTTTGCATGACAAAGTTTTCTGAAAGGCATAACCTAAAACTGTCAATATTCAAACAAAGTGGATATGGAAATCTTGTCTTTACACAAATACAGAATAGAATTCAAATTTTTTTTCACCTGAATGTAGATCTGTACCTGGTTGACTAGTCAGGCCTGGGAGAGAGTCTTGCAACTGATAGGTTGATGATGATGAAGTGCCATCAGCTGTGTTGTTTGAGGTCATATATGCACCATATGTTGATGCTGAGTAATACTGTGCATATTGATTTTGGCCAAAAGCTGTGTATGATGGATAATCCTAAAACAACAAATACAGAGGAGTGCTTAATTAAGTAGAGTAACAAGTGATTTTTCCATTAAGCATTTCTAAGTGTGTAATCATATGACTCTTGCAGAGTTTAGGGGGTTTAGTTCAGATTTGTTTGTTTGTTTGTTTGTTTTAAATTTAAGGATATTTAACATTTTTTAATTACTAAAAGACTTCAAAGAGGTTGCAAAAGTACCAAAAGATGCAACAAGGTTTCCACTGGGATTTTGATCACTTTCCGCAGAAAATAGTATTGAACCACAGTGGCTCTAATTCAGTATAACAGATGTAAATTAAAATAACATGATATAATTAGAGTTAAATAAATCCTTTGGTAATTGACAAACAAAAATGTTAACATTCATACCTGTTGTGAACCACTGAAGTTTGTTGAATTTGAAACAGAATTGTTTGCATAAATAGTGGATGATGGTGTAAAACTAGAACCTAAAATTAAAAAATACAATTAATTGTGTGAACTTGTTCATGAACCAAAATAAAATTCTAAACACAACATTTTGTGTTAAGATATTGATCAATAATAAGAAGAAACAACTTTTATTTTCTGTTTAAACAATAAACCATTGTAATGAAACTCTAAAAGAAATGAAATGCTACTTCTGTGCATGCAGTCACACATTCTTCTTCACACCACGCAAGATACTGCAAGTAAGTCCTTACACCAACCAAGAAAGCACTTTTCAATTTATTGCAATGTCTCACCTCTGCACAAATGCTGTTCTTCTCTTTGCCTTCATTTTTAACACTTTAGCTTATGTTTACTTATGAAACAAAAAACTTTTCAAAGAATATATTAATGATCCATTGAATCTGTAATGAGGCATGTCCTTGTTTTCAACATGTCAGATGAATCATGTTGTAATTTGTAATATTTTAAATATTAGGAATTGTATAAGAATCTTTAAAAATTACCCAAATAGAACAGGTTATCGATGATCAAAGGGGAGTAAGTGAATTAAGAAATGAATAATAAATGAAATAATAAATTTGAATGAAGGAGAAATTATAAAAAATCATGTTAACCCAAGGAGAAACCAGTATCAAATTATGTTATACTCAGAAACATGGAAAAAAGGAAAAGTAACTTGTGTACACTAATAAATACAACAAATGCTTCCAGTTTTGCTGTGTGATTTCCCCCCATAAAAAAATAAAGACTGCATTGCATGACCAGATCTCAGTTAACAGATAACCAAAATGGATACATATAGTCAGACCAATACTGGGAAAAAAATACATGTATTTAAATTTTAGAGGTAAAAGCAGCTGCCTGTTTTTGACAGGGTTCACAGAAAGGAATGGAAAATATATCATAAATATGGGGGAAGAGAGGGCTGTTGGCAGCAGTGGAATAGAATGAGCCCTGATGGTGCTGGCTACTCACCTGGCATCTGGTAAGAGTAGGGTGTTTGGCCTGGCTGTGGGGTGGAAAACCCTGGGCTGTAACTCAGGCACCCGCTCTGCAGTGGTGATTGGGCCTGCGAGAGCCCACTTTCCGTCTTGATGCCTGGCAACATTACACCCAAATCTGTGTAAGAAATTAATTGTCAACTGATTCTTTAAAATATTTTCTTACAGTTGGGAAAACAGCAACAAAAAAAAGAAAGCAAAAGACCATTCACGGCGGCATTGCTCTTACTTCGGCACAAAGCGAAGTAACAAGAGGTGAAATACCGTAAGTGGGCAGGCTGTAGGGCTGTCCTGTCTGTGAGTAGGCTGTGTAGACCGCTGGCTGCTGCATTCCCGAATACTGGGTTTGTCCAGCATAGGCAGACATTGTTTGAGCTGCTGGTGTAGAAAGAATGTGTGGATAGGGCCTAAATATCAGGAAAAATAGCATTACTGTGGCAACAAATACTTTGTATGTTGATTCAAGCAATAAAGTAAAGAAAAAGTTTTAAAGATGTCCAAAGGCAGTTCATTATCCTGCCAACTGTTCCTCTTCTGGGATTTATTCCATTCCCCACTGAAATAAGCTGAAAACCATCCCGGCTCACATTCCCCAGGGCACAGGAAATATTTTGTGCTGTCCCATCACTACAGTTTAATTCTCAAGCTACTGTGTCCAGCTCTAAGTGGACTGTGCCACTGCTCCATGGCTTGGTATGGATTTGATCCCTTAAGAGTCAAGATGAGCCTGCTTAAATCAGAAATACCCTTGTGCTTTTATAATCTGGTGGAGGGAAACTTGGACCAGAAGAAAAAAGGTACTACAGAGGTATTAAACATAGAACATTACAGCTACGACATTATGTCCTCTGTGTATGGTTCTGCTTCAACAGACATCTAGCCTCTGGCTTCAATGGGAGATGGATTGCACCCATTAAGAGCAGAATGAAAAATATTGACTGCTGCACTTTGGTAACCAGATGGTCTTTAAACATTTGGAAAATATGGGCTAGGAAAACAGAATGGAAATAAAATGGTCTTTTATTTATAAATACTGGGGTTTTATAGAGAGATTGAATAAAATCAAGTTTAAAGTTTTTTGCCCTCCAGAGTTGCAAAAACATACAGAGAGCATTTGTCTTGGATTGTTTTGTAAGTCAAATAAGACTTTATGGACCAAGAGTTGAATAAACACACTCTGCAGAATTACGCTAACTGAAACCTGACCATTAAATCCATGACTAAGTTTCAGATTCTTATTTTTCTATTATTTTTTCTTTCTAATTAGTTGAGTACAGTTGGCAGCAGTTACTATCAGAAAAGGGTTACTCATTAATTTAGATGCCAATAAATTATTACAGTAGATTAAAAATTCTATTAGACCTTGTAATGTATCTGGCCAAAAGTATCAGGTATAGTTTGCCAAAACCTTTTTTAAGTGGAATAAGGCAGACTGTTCTTAGTTCAGGCACTTACTTTCTGTATCAATAAATATTGGCTATCATGATATGAATGTAAATTTATTACAAAAACTTGAAAAAGCCCAAGCAGCTACAGTTTCAATAGTTTCTCTGTATCAAAGTCACATAGGTAGATGCATCAAATACACAGAAACAAACAGATGGCATACTGGAATCTAGCATCCTTATGTACAACACTGATTTTTAGGACATGCAGACTAGTAGCCTGCCAACTGCATTTTTGGTGCTTTTTCCTGAAGCTCCCACTCCTGGCTTCATGTGATTACCTGACAGCCTGCTTTCCTCAAAAAAAAGGGAAAGAAATTTTCTATTCTTAACAGCTGTCTTAAAAATAAGGAGGAAAAAAAAAAAAAAAAAAGAGAGAGAGATAAAAAGCTGATCCAGCTTATTTTATTTTTACATCTTAGGATCCCAGAGAAGGAGGAGGAAAGGGTGGTTCATGACTGTGGAATGCTTGGAAGCGCTTGGCAATGCCGGCACTGGGAGGGTCTGTGTCAGCGTTACCCCTCAGCACACATCTTGCATATGCAATTGTGATTTCTAAATATAAACTCTCTTCTTCAAAATATCTCTGTATGCATTGCCAGCACTGTTAAGATGCTGATGTCTGAGAAAGTAATAGTCCGATCTTTCCTTTCTGTTGTGGGTAGATATTCAAGTGTTATTACTTATGCAGCAATACCACCCTGCACAGAGCAGGATCTTACTCTGCAGTCATGTGAGGAAAAAAAAAGATGGGAGAGCAAGCTACAGTGGAGTCAGCACTGAGGCTTAAGTATTTTCCTTTCTCTGTTTCTTCTGCTGATGAATACTTGTTTGCAACAAATCACAGAACTGCCTAACAGCCAAGGCCAATTCCCTATAAAAGACTAGAAGAGGTGCAGAGACTAACTTGGAGGGATATATCTGTGGAGAGTACTGGTGCGCAGATCTTGGGCTGTAGCCACTGCTCGTTATTACTGCAAAACAGAAAACAGGAGTACAACAGTTAGACACGTCATGAGACAAATTCAGCCATCCTGAATGCTAATGCAACAACATTTGCAGAGAAGCTTATTGAACAGCACAGCTTTTCAACAAAGTAGATGTCACCTGAACTGCAACATCTTAATACAAAAATTCAAAAATTCCCAAATCATTCATCGTTGTACAGAACTCTCTAGTGGCTATGGGTATGTAATGCTTTTTCAGCTTGGCTGACACATTTCCAAATATATTGCAGAGGCAATTTCATACATATTCTGATCCACACACAGATCTTTCAAATTTGCAAGTTGTATTAAAATTAGTAGTTAAAAAGAATCTTGTAATTTAACATATGGCATTGCAAGGGATTGAAATAACATACATATACTTTATTATAGTCTCTCATTAACAAGCTTAACATTAATACTGGGTAGGAAAAATACGTTTTATATGGGTGTGGTTAGTTTTAGTCAGTGATGGCAGATACCAGGTTGGCTACTAGAGAATGAACACCAGTCCTATCATCAAATGGACTAGAACATAGCCCATAACAAAAATATTTTTATTTCAAAAGTAGGCGTAAACACTCCTGTCCGGTAGCCATCAAAATTGTGTATGTCTGTATTAGTCATAGCTGCATTCTTCCAAGAAAGCTAACAGAACAATGGTCATATCCCATTAAAATCTCATTCAGAAGTGGTGCTCACACTGGATTAATTCCAAGTGTTTGGAAGTTTCTCTTTTCCTTAGCCATCTGTCTTGACTAAGACAGATGTATTCCAAATATATGTACTCTAAAGTGTTGAACCGATCCCTTCAGAGCAAATCCATACTGGGGAAACACACAGAGTGTCTTTATAAGGCCATCTGCTGTTCATTCACTTTTCAAAAGATTAAAGTAGTACACAACGAAGCACTGGAATTTCCTTAGTCTAATCAATCATAGTTGTACTTCAAAGTGTACCTTCTTCCTGAGCTGTTCATAATGGAAGTAGAAATGAACTTTCAGAATTATGTAAGTGACAAATAGGTTTAGGTTCCTAACTATTTTATGAAACATGATGTATTTTTACATCCAGGCCTAATAAACGTCTTTGAGATCTATTGCTTTGAATATAAGCAGAACTTCATATTTTTAAAGCTAGTTTAAATGCATTTAGAACATGTAGGACTTATAAGGAAAATATGGTAGAAGAAAAACAATTAGCTTTTTTAAATGTGCAGTTGAGTATAGCTAGATAATAAAGAAGAATTGGATAATAATTTTTGGAACATGTGCCACCAGATTTCATAAAAGAGTTGCTGATTGAAAAGATACTGAGGGTTTGTCTGTGATTGGAAGTCTGCTGAATTTAATTTTGTACGGATATTCTTTTTGTGGTTTAAGCTCAATCTGCTGAGTGATTCACTAGGTGTGCATACAGCTGCTCAAAATTAGATGAACCTGTAGCTGAATGTATCAATATAATCAGTACACAGAACTCTAAAGGCTGCTCCCAGTTATTTAAGGCTTGAAGAGTAATTAGTCTTCCCTGCTGCATCCCAATGATCTATCTCTAGAGAAAAACAATAGGTAACAGTAACACAGTGACCTTGGTGATACTCAGGGCAAGGAACTTTTGTGATCCATTATAGGCTTATCAGATCCTTTTTGCCTGTACTGCTCCACTTTGTTGTCTGATCATTTGCTGGATGACAGCTCATTTGATTAATGAGTTTAGGTACAGCACATTTAGCATTCCATCACACCCAATGTAGACTACAAAAAATGAGTGACTGTTCATTTAAATCACTTGAGCTATCAAAACCTGATGTTTTTCAGCAAAAACTGTCCTGACTTCTTTTTAATTCCTTCTTCATATACCTTATGTTATAAATTTGGAGGAGAAAATCAAATACTTTTGGAAGGTGGTTTTATATTTCCTATTTTTCCTTTTTTTCTTTTTTCTTTTTTTTTTTTTTTTTCCCCTCCAGCTTCCCTGATGATAATACCAGCTCCAGGGAACAGATTGAAAAAGAGATAAGTGCCTGCAAAGGAAATCTTGTACCTTTCAAACTAAAAAATCTGTTCCTTTCACTCTTTCTCTGGTAGTTTTCTCACTGATTTGTGCACTGCATTTTAGACTGAGAGATGTTTGAGAAACACAGGTTGTTAAGACCTACCATAAGAGAGCATTAAAACTGAGTAGAGCTGTAGACTATGTCTATATCTCATAGATCAAATAGGTAATTTTAAGGGTTATCAAACTTAACTTTCACTACCAGATACTCTCCTACACTGGTGGCAACGGAGGAGAAGGCAGGCTGTGACAGTTTGTAGAACTGTACCACTTTTATAAGCCATTTATATTAATTGGGCTAAACACTGGTTTATGCTGCTTATATTAAAAACAAAATCAAAACTGTTTCTTCCCTGAAAAACTCAAGTATTTCTAAGACTTCACCACCTGAATTTACCAGAGGAGTGCTCTTCAGGGTGAGCGTAAGACCCGTGATTTCTCAAGTCTCACTATGGCACTGAGGGCATATTCCAGTCCCAACTAATGCTGATTGACAGAGGGAATGAATCTTATCAGTTACCCTGTTAGCTCAACTGGCCAATGTGCCTGTGGATAATTTAAATTACTGCAAACTGTTCTCATGGCATGTGTTGGGTTGAGTATATTAACACAGGCTGAAATTTTGTATTGTTTTCATCATGCATCTGGAAAGTTCTGCTCAAAGAGGTTAGGTTAAAAGGATCTTATTTAAGTAACGAATCACAACATCTACACAGAATAAGACCAAATGTAGGTTATAGAGCAATGGTGTTTCTTAACTTCTTCTTTATAGCCTTCAGAAATTGTTTTCTATACCTTTTTTGTGTATAGTAAATACAGAGTAAAGAGGATTATGAAAACATCAAATGTGTCTGTCTGCACTCTATTGAAATGATAAACAGTTCTCAAACTGCTTCAGTATTGTTAGATATATAAACACAGGAATGTATGCACTCATAGTGCAGCAGCTGCAGCAAATTCAGAATATGAAGATGCTCAATTCAAGGCTGTTCAGCTCTCCTCATCCTGTGACTACCCACCCCCCCCAGGACCTGCTGCAGCACCACAAAGCTTCAAATTGAGTATACCGGTATTAATTACCAGCTGTCATTCTTTGAAGAAAAAGGAGGAGGAAGAGGAGTGCACAATGTGACTTTCCACTTGGCTAATCCCAGCCATGAGGCACAGTTTCTCCCCAGGGCAGCTGTGCAGAATAGAGGAACTGGAGCCCTGAGCAGGACCTGTTCCATGGCCTGGGAAAGACCACTGTGGCAACTGTCACTCTCCATTCAAGAGATCCATGTGCTTTATTTTTCAACTTTTCAATCAAAATTTGGGGTTCATCACAGTTCCCTGTGGAGCCTAACCTGTCTCTCCTGCTCTGTACCTCGCAGAGTCTGCATGAGCACCCGTTTCTGTGTTACAACTGGTCAACAGAGACAGAGTTGGTTACTTCACATCCCACAGGGCTTGTTCAGCTCAGCTCCAGGACATATCACAGGTTTTGATTGTCCTTTGAGCACAGAAATAAATTTTAATGGGTAGTATATATGAAGGAGAGGATTTCTGTATGGCAGACTCTCAAATGGGTGTCAGCAGAAGGCTTCCCCTATTCACCCATGCCTCATTTCATAAAATATTTAATAACATACTAAAATCCCTACTAACAAAGGATGCTTGAGTCCTTCTGATCTATGCTTGTTTATGACAGAGGAGGTGATATCCCTGATAGTAGACTAGATGTCTAGGCATCCTCACAAAATGAGCTCATAGATGCTCTGAAAGCTGAAGGAAAGTACCAGCATTACCCCCTTGTCACAGCTGGGAATAATACACATTAGTAGCTTACTACTAGGAAAAAACAAACTCTTCAGTGTTGGGCTTTGTTAGGCATTATTTCCAATTACAGATGCTTTGTCTGAAATAGCATCTTTCTACTAGTCAGCATTTACTGTCTTTGGCAAGACATTAAACTTCCCAAATAGCTAGCTAGGTTAAGAATTCAGTGTTCTTTAGCACTTCTTCTCCAAAACTGAGCCTAGCAAATTGTCCAATTTTCAAGTATCAGCAAAAGCTGAGTGTGAAAGCAATGGATTTACTCTTTATGAAAGGCTCAGTGTATTACCAAGGTAGCTCTGTGTCTCACTCTGATGATGAAGACTGCACATCACCCAGACAGGCACACTATTTATTTCCCACTGTGAATGGCCATACTCATTTAATACTTGAGTTTGTGACCTAAACTGAGAATCAGGATCATATTTCTTTTGAGCATGCAGGTGGCTAACGAACACAAATTACTGTGTAAAGGCTCAAATTCCTGTCTCTTTTTGGAGGCACGAATTGTTTCCAAATCTCCAAAGTGTCGAAATGTCAACACTTCTTCTAAAGTCTGTGGAAGCTAATGGGTGAGTGGCAACTGGCAAAATCAAGCTGTTACTTAGCTATCTAACTGCAATTTTTTGCACCCCTTCACAAAGATGTTGCCTTAGCCATGTTTTACACATGGAATCCAACTCACATATCTTAAAAACTTGGTAAAATTTCACCAACAATGACAGAATCATATATATTGTGGGACAGTTTGTAATCTGTAATCATCACTAATACAATTTTATGATAGAGTAGCAAGAGAATGAAAAGCTAAACTTAGCCAGGACTGTTCCTCCACTTTATGGAGCTTGTTAGGCTTTTAGTTGATGACATTCCTTTATAATAATATAATAATAGTATAATAATGAGGACAATATTTTCATTTTTTTCTAACCATAAATAGTATAGGTTTGCTTTCCATCTCACAGAAGACCTTTTCTTCAGGCACTAAATTTGTTATAAATACTTTTCTGAATAACCAACTTGGGAGTATATCTGCATTTACTGATGCTTAAAAAACAAGTCCAAAAACATAAATTCAATGTTCAAAACATTTTTATTACACAGAAACATTGTGATTTCCAAAATATTTTAAATAGGGATTGACTACCTAAGTCTATAAAACTAATATCTGTGTGGAGTGGCAATTCTTGACTTCAGTCATGTTCCAGTCAGGCCATCACTGAACTGGTATTTTCAGACGCAAAATTTATTCTCCACTCTCTACTTGTTAACATTATTATTAGCAGGATTAATCTTAATTATTAGAAGGCAGATTATCTGCATTTCTCCACTGTTCATCACCTTTTAATAATTTATAGACATCTACTTAAAAATTGTTGTCTGAATCATCTAAGAAGTAGTAACTGAAACTTACGATTATTTACAGTAAAATACAGGCTTTCTTTTCATGGAAAGAAAGTAGTTTATGAGAATCTGGTCAATGTTTAAGCTAACACACTGCTCATAGGAAAAAAAGGACTAGCACTGAAAGATAACCCTCAAGATTTTAAATTCTACGAATTAGAATAGCTGTTACAAATACAATCCAGTTTTTATTTCCTAAGATCGTACAAGCCTAGCGCTAAGAAAAATCTCCAGTACAACAATAACACTATGACCCTAAGATTTTAGATACAGTAATCACCTTAGGCATCATTAAAGCTTCTTTAAGATCATAGCTCCTGAAAATTGTAATTACAATTGACAAAAATGAAAAGTATACTCTATTGTAGATTTTGAAGATTACTTCCATGCAGTGAAATGCTCATTAGAGAAGGTTACTAAATGCTATATTAATGTGCATCTAACAATACATGATCTTATTATGGCTTTACCTGACCCAGTAAAAGTGTCAAGGGATCCATCTCCAGTTGTTGTTGTTGTTTCACTGCTGTTCAGGGGTTCTGTTTTGACTGCAAGAAGAGACACTACATAGAAGAATAAGTAGATATGAGATTTTACTTCTAAAGTTCCACTGGAGTCTTCATGCCAGCCTCACTAGCAGCAGTCCAGCTAGAACAAGCATGCCCTGCAACAGTTTCCACCTTTGCTCTGTGACTGCACTGAGACACGCTACACTTTCTCCACCTGGAAAGGCCATGCATCTACATAGCTTTTTATCTGTGCATTCCTCTATCTATTGGTCTTTGCAAGTAGATTATCTTCTGTGGAGATTTCAACCTCTATCTTACTGAGGAAGATTCTTAGGAGGAAATGGGCTTAAGTTGTGCCAGGGGAGGTTTAGATTAGATATTAGAAATATTTTATTCACCAAAATGGTATTTAAGCACTGGAATAGGCTGTCCAGGGAGGTGGCTGAGTCTCCATCCTTGGAGGTATTTAAGAGACATATAGATGTGGTGCTTAGGAGCATGGTTTCAGCATTAGACTTGGTAGAGTTAGGTTAATGGTTGGTAGTTAGGTTATGGTTGGACTCAATGATCTTAAAGGTCTTTTCCAACCAGAATGATTCTGTAATTCTCTGATTATTGATTCTAACAATTCCATAAGAGCAGCAGAGAGGAAGGAAACATTAGCCGTTGAGGGACATAGCACATAACAAAAATAGTTTTGCCTGGCAAGTGAAACAATAATAATTATATAGTTTCATGCTCATATAGAAGCAAATTGCTTTCACAGTGCCAGCATTCTGCCTTTCTCCTTCCCTTTTGCAGAGTCTGTGGGGGGCTTTTTGAGCTAGGTCACCAGCAAGCAATTTTCCATAAATGAAGAGAGAAGTCTAAAGGAAAAAAAAAAGCAAAAGAACTAGAGTGGGACACAAACAACAGCCATGAAAAGTCAGGTTCTAACTCAGAGTTTACCAAATATTTGGGTCCACTCTGAACTCAAATTACTTTTTACAGACCATCATGCACTCTTACCATTGAAGCTATAACTGAAAGCACCACAGAGGTAATCTAAATTTTATAGTTTTAATACGTTACATAAACAGACCATCTGGCATGGACTTTTGTAATCAAGTATGGGAATCAACCCTTTAATTGATGTGGTAAGAAAGAGGAGTATGCTGCAGCTGTATTAGCTGTTTGACTGGCAGATGTGGAAACCATCAACATACTATCACAATCGCTTGGAGAAGGTCAGTTGTGTGTAAGCATGGGAGCATTTATCACACATATATCAGCAACTTGCTTATATATACCACAGGACCAGTAGCTGCCCAGGGGTGCAGATCAAAGTGGCAATGAGGACCTACATGAGCCACTGCTGTGATCATATATTAGGTATGAAAGTTCCAAGGACACATTCCAGGATTTGTGGAGAAGCCTTTGCTGTGACAGTCGGGCTGGCAGAGGTCCCCAGCGTGTCTAACATATGCCAAGCAAAGGCATTTTCTGCCAGCTGGTTACCTGACGCCTCTGAGGAACATCAGCTAAGCTGACCAAAGCTCTCATCTGTCAACATCACTGCATCCGTGTTTGACTTCACTGGCAAGAGTAAGGGAAGTGGGGTGTTCTGTGTTCTGAGCTGGCAATGTATTTACAACTATGGCTCAGATTCAAGTAATCTAATTTAAGCATATAAGTTAGGTACATAATAACATCCCTTTACATCCAGTTGAGAAGAGAGGCACTTCCAGAGGGAGATTCAGTGCAAACAACAGCCTGAGCTGCCACTGACTTCACCACCCCTCTTACAGTCCATAGAACAAAAGGTAGTGGATGAGCAAAATAAAGTCTTTGGTTTTCCCATGGGAAAATAACTCCTACAGAACCATACTGTGACTCCTTCCTTTGACTGTGAGCTCCACCAGGAGCAAACTGGGAACTACAGAACTATCAATCGAGCCACAGGTGACAAGCCCCATGAGTTACCTCTCCTGCAAGATCTCACTCCATTTCCAGTCACACTACTCAAGGGATGCTACTTCAGTATGTCATATGGGATGCTGCAGATGTCTACAAGTGCATAAGTGACCTACACTGAGTTCAAAGGACACCTGTCACGTAGGGAACATTTGAGAAATCGGGATTTATTTGTGTCTGTAACAGGCAGAGTGCCCTGTGGCATCACTGGTGCCCCAATGCTACAGAAACTAAGCAGCACCATCTTGCACAAGTTACACAGTTGTATTTTTCCATTTACTGTGCAAGATGTAAAAATACTTGCGTGTGTCTCTCAAATGTAGACGATTTTTCATTACTGCTTCTCTTTAATAAAACTGCCACATGAATATATTCTCCCTGCAAGCAGCAGGATATTAATTCAATATGAAATCATCAGGGAAAATTTTAGCCACGTTTTTCCAAGCTCCTCTGCACTTCTTGTCATTTTGCAGGCTATTATTGTCTGATTTTTAAAAAAATAAATAATAAATTAAAAAATAGCTGTGACAAGAATTACTCAAAATGAGCAAAGTAATTAATAAGAGTAATCAACCATTCCCACTTGTCTATTTAGCTGAGAAAGATGTGATTTAATTTTCATCAGATCAGGAAAATATACATCCAGGGAAAGCTTAAGGGTCATTTGTCACAAAACAATTGCCTCCACTGAACTTCAGGCTTCTCAGTCATGTGGAACATGTATTGTTGCCTGAAGCATGAAAAGTAATTAATTCATCTTCTGATTACTATACATAAGTGCCTGCATGTGTTTCAGAATGAAAATATATATTAAGTTGGAAATACTTGTATTTTCCCCTCTGAAGATCTTTAGCCATATTTTACTTTCTAAGATTCATGTCTCTCCTCTGCAGAGTATGGACATTTAGCTACATGAAAAAATCCTACTTTTTAGTACATTTATCTGTTTCTGTTCAAGAAGGTTTCCCACTATAACCCATACTGATCTACAAACCTATGTTCAGTATTGCATCCAGAAAGTCACTCCAGTATACGCCTAACTTTTATTTAACAAAACCTTCAGTACTGAATGGAAATGTTCACTTTCGAGTTGTGCCTACTTCTGCTTAATGCCAGCTGCAGTGCCCTTTCACCAGCCAGTCTTTTGTATTCCCCATCTTTTCCAATCCTTGTCAAGGAGAGAAGGATCTAAAACAAAAGAAACTCCGCAATGGAATTAACTTGAGGAAATTATTATGTTTGCACTCTGTTTTGTTTGAAAAAAACATGTAGAAAGTATTGTTTTATGTTCTTGATTTTCAACAGTTCTATTTTTTTTAATTTTATCATAGTAAGGAACTAATCAAGATCTTTCCTCAGTGTAGCTAGACATTTGGGCTGTTACCTTTCTTGTTTTATGTTACAACTCATTAAACCAAGAGGAAAAAGCAGAAGTCTAACTAACTAAATTAATATTTATAAAATTAAAAATTTAAGGAATTCAAACATCAGATGGAAAAACCCAGGAAAATGTAAACCTGAAATGAAAACAGAAGCTGACAGCAATTAAAACCACATTATAATCCCTACGTTTCCCACATATGAGATAAAGTGTAGATCTGAGTCTACTATGGCAACTACTCTAGACATAATGCAAAAACTAAGAGCATTTTGAATTAATACTTTAAAGATTACAAATTTCATATTCTATTTTTTAAAGCGTGGATTGGTTTGTTGGGGTTTTTTTACATATTGGAAGAGGAAAAATAAAACAAAAATCAATTTCAGGCTGAAAGTACCATTTAGTGTTTCTAACAATGAAGACTTCACATGCTAACAGAGTAGAGCTATCACAAAGGTCAGAGGCTGGGACGGACGTATGATGTACTAGGACAGAGAAAAGAAGCTGGGCTTGTTCTACACTAGGAATAGAAGGCTGAGAAAAGAGCTAATTGCTGCCTGCAGCTACCTACTGGGAAGGTGCAAAGGTGACAAAGAACAAAGGCTCTGTGCCCTGTGAAACTGCAAGAGGAAACAGACAAAAGTTGCAGCAAAGGAAAAATCCAATTAGATGTAAGAGGAAAATTCTTTGCTGTGAGAGTAGTCAGGCCCTGGGACAGGTGCCCAAAGAGGCTGTGGCACCTCCCACCTTGGAGATATTCAACACTCATCAAGATACTGCCTTGAGCAACATGATCTAACAGCAAAGTTGACCCTGCTCTTAGCAGGGGTTGGCCCAGCTGACCTCAAGGGATCCCTTCCAGACTTAATTATTCTAAGATGAATTCAGAATACAGCTCCCAACGAGCAACAGCTTCTACAACATAAGCTCTTCATTTGATGAAAGCACTCAGCAGACCAACATGACTACTACTCTGCCAAGCTCTTTTTTCTCTTTTACTAAAAGACTGAAAAAAACCACAGAGTTTTAGAGGCAAGAGATGCTACTATTATGCATTAGGTAGGTCAAGCAAGTGCAATGGCTATTAGAGCAAACAGGTTGGACTAAAAGTTCACATAAAACAACAAACCACACAGCTTGCCATAGGAATTGTTTTTTTCTTTCTTTTAGCAAGCCTCAAAGCTTTTCCTGGGAATGTATTCAACTAAGAACACAAATCTAAACATTCTACTGCCTATAGAAAATCAGATTTAATGCAAGTAATGCAAGGGCTTTCTCATTATATTTCTTCAGTACTGATGATTATTACTTTCATTATTACCTTCCACTTTTATCTGAGCATGACTCAGTTAACTGAGGCGACAAAGTTAAATCAGTCTTTCCTTAAAGTTAAATTCTTGTAACTGAGGGGGAGCATTCACATGGAATCAGTTATTTGGGTGCAAACAACCTTCTGTTCTCAAGTCTGAATTTTTTGGGGGAGTAAGGTCTCTCCGGAAATGTGGCTTACAAATGGCAAGCTAATTCTGAGGGTTTTTTTAAAAGGAAACTTTTTGAGATCTTCCTAATGTTAGTCCAGAATTGCACAGCTTAAGCACCTGTGTACGGGTTTGTAGAGGGATCCGGTGATACACATTTACACTTATGAGTAATCCCACATGTACTCTTAACAGTGTCACATATATAATTATTATTAATCATTATAACTCATAACATTTAATAATACATGACAGAAAACTCAAATTAAAACAACAGCTTGGAAAAACTGGCCAAATGTTTGTCAAGTGGCAAATTACATGCAGTAGCACACCAGACATATGCTTTAATTAATAATGAAAATAGTAGTAGAAGTAGTAACAATAATGTCAACCTTCATTTGTGCTCAGGTAATCATGCAATGCTGTACCTAAAAATAAAAGAAAAACAAATGGGCACTCTGTGGAAAATTCATCAGTCTGCCTTCCAGCAATGCTGACTACTGGCAGTTCCCAGCAATGCTGATCACCACGGGGCTCTCCCAGGCTCTCAGAGCATGTAAACAGCTAAGCTAATTTTAAGCGGGTTAAATTCTCCTTGTTCATCAAATGACTTTCAAAGTACGGTGAGATTAACTATTCATTGCAACTTCCTACCAGTTTTCTGGTTGTGGGAAAGGCATCGAAGGAAGGGTGGATATAAAGAAGGGGAGGGGGAACCCCATGAAAATGTTCCAAGCTCATAACCAAAGAACAGAGCAAACCAAGAGGGATGTTACACAGCAGACAGGGAGACACACCACCCACCACACACATGCACGGTACCAGGGTCTCCCATACTTGTTGCAGAAGAGGGAGTACTGCAACTCAGCAACCAGTCGGCAGTATTTAACACAGTCATGTTGTCTCCTGAGAACAGGAACGGCATAACAGTTCATTGTCCCAACGTCTGTTCAGGGTACGTGAACACTCGTCAAGGCTATTAAGCGCTCTTGCACTTTGAGCCAAGTCTTTTAACTGCACTGTATTGTTTTTATTAGTATTATTTTAACTGGTTAATTTATGCAAGTATGATATAGAAGCATCTACTTATTAGTGTTCTTTAATGGTATGCTTCATGTTTTCCCTTCTCTTTATGCCAGAATAGGGATTCTATTTTAAAATATAAATAGGTTGAACTTTAACAGGCAAGCCCTTCTCTGCAGAGCTCTGTTACACTCACATGCACATACACTTTTTATGGAAACTAGCAGATTTTTAAATTTTTTTTTAAACATAGGGATAAGTGAGTAAAATGCTTTATATTGTGGCCAGAAGGAAAGACTAAAAAGACCTTCTTGGTGCCAACTGTTAAAATAGAGAGCAAAGTATAAAATCCATAAAAAGGGCTGAAATTCTAGCTTAACTCACATCTATGGTGTCACTGTCATGGACACTAATGGGAACAGGATTCCATCTCAGAATGTGGTGCCCTACCTCCCACTGCTTCAATTCAGCTAAGGCAGAATCTATTATCTGAAAACACTGGAACATCTTTGCTGCATGACACTGCTGTCCTTACAGTAACAGACACAACAGTAATAACCATGTAAAAAAAATTACCTAAGCCCGATTTTGATGCACTTCTTTTGAAAGAGATTTTAAATTAAACTAAATGTGTGTAGTGCAGGGTGTAAGAGTAAATTATTACACAGCAATGAAGTCTGACACAGAAAATGCAATCTATTTCAAGTTACCAACAGGTATAACCAAATCTTTAATGCTTTGTTTAAATCAAACATTCCAAGAGTTTCCTTGTTCCAGTTTTGCCCAGTTCTGTCTCTGTCTTCACTCAGTGCAAATCGAAGTGCAGTTGGAATTAGCAGATTTACACTGGCAATGACTACAATTTCTTAATAATTCTTTCTGGGTTTATAAATGGGTTTATGCTCATCCTTGAAGTTATATTAAAAAATGCATATGACTAAAATCTAGCCAAAACTCTCTGTGTGCCAGCAGTGTCTTACACTTACCTCCTGTTCCATTTGTTGTAACTGATGTGCTACCGAGATTAGGTTTATCCAGTTTGGAACTCCCCGCAGCATCACTACTTCCAACAAGATTATGAGGACTGGCTAGATCTTGCATTTCCATAGACCTGTTAAAAATTAAGGTGCCAGTATTTAAATGCATTGTCATTCTATCTGTAATAATCTGCTTTTTATATAACAACTTTTTTTTTTTACATGAAGAGTTTGTAAAGCAGGTTACTATAAGGTCATCTTTGATTTTACCAAAGCTAAGAAAGTAGCTAATAATTTCATGTGAACAGCAACAAGGCCAGTATATTTCACTTTTCCTTTAGGTATTATAAAGTAAAGGACACAGGATTATGAAACTGCTCAAAGCAGCTGTAAAAAATGTGCATGAGGGAGCACATAGGTATAGATGGACAGATGGAGGGATAAACAAATAAATGCACATGTATAGGTATTTTTTAGAAGAAAACAGAGAAATTAAGTGAAAAGTCAGTCATTACACAAAAGAATAAGAACAGGAACTTCCGCTTCTAATTATCTAAATTCCAGCCACCAGCAGTCACTGCATCCACACTAAATCATAGGAGCAGACCATACAGATGAATGAACAGAACTTCGAGGCACATCTGGAAGATTCTTCACTCTTACAAATATATATATTCTTACCAGCTCCCTTGATTATCTTGATGATTTTTTTATTTTTTTTTTTCCCCCTGAGTCACTTCTAGAAAACTTAGAACATTTCAAATGGATTTAAACTGCAATGGATTTCAGCATTACAATTATACTGGGGGACTGATGGCTTTCATTCTGTGACAAAAGATCTGCCTTTTTCAGACAAAGCAGACTAGGAACACTTCTAGTTAGATCTGTAATTACAATCCAATTTACAGTATGTGCTCACCTTTTCCTCGCTTCATTTATAAATCAATTACACAGGTTTTTTTCCCCAAAGAAACATTTTTGCTATGCATAGGCAAAGCTGCCAGCCCATCTGTGACCACAGAACTATTTACCATATGTATTCTACAAAGACCAACAGAAAGATTGTCTTACAGAGCTGTAAAAGCCCAATTGCATTGTAGAAGACTGAAATGGCTAGGAAGAAGATGAACAGTTGGGATAGTTCAAGAAGGGTAACAAGTCCTGTATATTAATATTCTGGGCAGGAAGAGTAGTGGCAAATTGCTAAGGTTAACATCCAGCACTTAGCTATTTATTTCAAATTTCATATTGAAATTGTCTATATTTTGTGCTCCTCACATCCTCCTCTGGGAAAAACAAACCACAAAAAAACCCAAACAAAAAAACCCCACCATCTTTGCCTCAAATACAGGTCTGCTGTCTGAATCTACTTTATTTTTCTCCAAAATAAGGAAAAGAAAAACAGAAAAAACACAGAAAGAATTTTTCTCCCATTTTGTACTTCTAATTGTGCTGATCTCCTAGATCTTTACTTGTCTCTCATTGTATTCACTTAACCCAAGACACAGATTTAGAGCTCTTCTGTCTCAATTATCTTCTAGAAAATGTAGGAAATATAACAATTCAAATGGGAAAATGCACTGAGGCACTACCCAAAGGCACATGAAGCCCAGGCAAATAATCTCATTTACTCCAGTAAATGCTTGAATCAAGCCTAAGATGCACTGATACCCCACTGGCATGGCAGCTTCCGCAGCAGCAGGGAATGAGCAGGGGATGAGCAAGGGAAAACTGATACTGCAGAAGGTCATGCATCAGCAGGTAAGAATTTTATAGCCATATTCAAAGAAATGGAAAGGCATAAACTGAGATCTGAACTGCCTTGACCCGCATTTCTTCATCTAATTGTATATACATTTCTGCACATCTGTCAGCACTGCATTATATTTATTGTCTACTGGAAATGTGATCAGTGTTAGGTGAAATGAAATGAACTCAAGTGGTTACTAGTCTGTTGGTTCTTGTTTAGTAGTGTCTGTACAAGAATAGCAGCTAAAGGTTAAAAAAAGTCTGTAACTTTCCATCTTGTATGTGTTTAAGGGAGCAGAAAAAATGCTACACAAAATAAACAATGTGTGTTTCATGGCATTTACAGTGTAATGCTCCCCACGTGTTCACTTAGCAGTTTAAGTGTTGTGATTTCCTGTCCAAGTATGATCAGACCAGAGACACCTAATAGGCAGTTCTAGCTTACAAAGTTCACATGTGCTTTTTTTCTCGTTCAGCATGAAAATCAGAATAATTTTTCAGACAGGCATATATCATGGCCACAGATGCATACCCTTCAGCAATTTTTTATAGGCAAAATCACTGATTCACCCATTTAATGTATTTAAGAAGTATCCATCTTAAAGCACTTTTGACACTCAAATGAATCAGATTTTCTTAATCAGAAAGCTAAGTCCACCAATTTTCATTTGCTTGGCAAAGAATATAAACAATCAGGATTTGGAAAAGTAATAGGTTTTGTGTCACATGGAACCTTTTCCGGAGAAAAGTATTTTATTCACCTTATATTTGTATAGGGTTTTTTTGTTTGTTTGGTTGGTTGGGGTTTTTTGGTTTTTTATTTGTTGGGGTTTTTTTGCAGCAAATGGCATCCCAGTCCACAGACACCACGAGTTAATTAATTATACTATTTTAAAGGCAGTGCATTTTGAAATAGACATTTTCTGTGCGTACGTAAAAGACATCTTGCACTTACTGGTAGTTTATTAAGGATACAAAAGGATATCCAAACCAAAAAAAAGTTTCACAAAACCATGTGTACACGTTATACTTATCCTGGGTGCTCTAACCTGTGTGAACAAGGAAGGGGATTATTTTAATATATCCCTATGTAATTTATTTATTCACGTGCACATGTTACCATCTGTGTAACAGATGTAATTCAATTCACCTTTCTGGACACATTTAGCTTACCTTTAGCCTAAAAAAATCATGGGAAGATGTAATAGACCTACTACGATCTTACAGTTTCAGTGAATGGAGGATTCAGGAAAAATGCTTTAAAAAATGGATGAAATATTTCCAACATCTTGAATTCATTTTGTCAAACTAAATGTTTATCAGAGTCCTGCTTTCACTGACTTAATCAGAAGCAGGTTTGGGTTTGTATGTGTTTTTCTGCACTAAAAAAGTAAAAAAGTGATCACTGAAGGACCAATTAATACTTCAAAGTTTATGCAGTTAAAGACTGTTTTCTAGTAAATGCAGTGAATTTGAATTTAGACAGAATAAAATCTGCTTAAAAAGCCTACATTATACAACTTTATTTTCCTTTCTTTTTTTTTTCTGTCAGGTACATAACTGTCTGAACTTTACTTCCCCCCCTCTATCATTGTCTTAAGACTACTTTTCAGAAAAAATAAGGAAAACGCTAAATTGTTTCAAAAGATAAATTTTGAGAGGAAAGAGATTACTTGGAAAGAAGATGTTTTAATTTTCTCTTGACTGTTTGTTTGAAGAACGCTAGCATGATTCCAAGCTCCTGTGTGAAAATCTTGAAAACTGACAAGATGGATTTGGCTTTTATTCTGCTTTGGCTACACTTTCAGTCTTGAAAACTGGTATATGCACATGCTTACTGGATCACTTTAGAGGCTTACTGGAAAATTCTCTAAAACATCCACTTTGCATAGAACAGCCTCTCAGATCCCCGTAGACTTGAACTCCAAACTGGATCGGGCCAACCCAAACAAATTGAAGAGGGCTGGTATCACAAAGATGGCTGTGTACAAATCCTGTGCCTCCCACATCTTGTCCCCTGGCTTAAAGTGACATCTTTTCAAGGGTTAACCTCTCTTCAGAAATGGTTTAAAGAACTGCATCCAAAGAGTTACTTTTCCCCCTTGTTTTTACAACAGCAGCCAGCAGAACTTGTGGTGCACCCCAGACCACTGGAGTGCACGGCCCAGCACCCTAACACAGCCTGGAGAAGGAAGGTTCAAGTATGACTAAATAGAGATGCTCATCAGTTTATATCTGTAGGGCTTTCATTTGTATTCTTTTTAAGGCTAAAAAGTTCAAGCCTTGTTTCTAGGGTTGTGTTTTTAAAATTGCTGTTTGGTTGGGTTTGTTTTGTTTTGTTTTGTTCTGGCTTTTTGTTTGTTGTTGGTTTTTTTGGTTGTTTTTTTTTGTTTGTTTTGTTTTGTTTTTCTCTCATTGGAATCATGTATCCATTTGTGTGCTGATTTTCTTTAGCAGAATTAAAATTTATTTCCAGAAAATCTGAGTTGGTATAACTTTGTTATTCATTGCATTTTCTTAAAATACTATAAATGTAGTCTATGAGCTGGGTCTATCCACAACTCAAAACTCCATTGATTATTACTGAATCCTGCAAGCAGATTATATTTAGATAATTTTCTTCTTTAAAGAGATCACATTTTAAATTGTAAACTTCTCCCACATAATCTTTTACTATATTTCAACCTTTTTTACCAACAAGTTAGCAAGTATGAAATAATTTATCAGATATTTATAAACAAAAAAAATAATCTAATGTGAAAATAGAGTACTTTAAATCCTAGCCTAAACAGAACATTTTACAAATACTAATTCCTCATTGTGCAGCATTTTCAGCAAGTCTAAAACAAAAGGAAATTGAAAGGACTATTAAAAATTGTAAAATTTCATTTAGTTTATAAGTGAATCAGAACAAAAATCTGTACAAGTATTTAAAATTATCTTTCTTCTAAAACTCTTTATAAGGAAAAATTGTACATAATTTTCTTTAGCAGAATCATTATTGAACTTCAATGTGGCAAAAATCCACATTATTTGGTCGTTGGGGACTTTGGTTAGTTTTTCCTGCTTTTATCACATCTCTCCTGTTGTAACCCCAGATATTACTTATCCCAAACTTTCTCACAGAAACCTGGAGACTTGTCTAATGAGTACATCAGCTACCTTGGACCTTCTGAAATTAAACAAACAGGGAATTTCCCTTTATTTAAAGTTAACTTTTAGAGCAAAATGAAAGTTGGGTAGCAGATCTGTTCAGACTCATCTCAGTCTGTTTTCTAGTACTGTCAGCTCCATTCTCTGATCAACCACAGAGTTTTGAAAAAAAGTGGGGTGGTTTCCTTACTGTTTCCGACAGAAAAATTGTTAGCCAGATTTTTCAGC